ACCTGAATGATCATAGAAGCAAGCGGTGGAGAAGCCACCAGTGACCTCCTATCTCTTTCATTCCTCCATCCAAAAGGACTGAGATCCTCTCTAAACCCTGCCTTACCACTTCCTGTCCTCAGTCCTCCAAGACCTCTATGGTTAATTTTGGTCTGCTAGTGGCTAGCTCTGCCCTCTGATCCAAAGCAAGCTTTACTGTCAGAATGCAATAAAAAATATCACACAACTTTTTTTATACTATAAATGAAAAAAAAAAAGGAAATGTTCAGCCAATGAGAAGTTAGATGCAGTCATTATACAATGAGTCCAATACCCAATAAATACAAGAGGTGTTCTATATATATTAATATTAAAATAAAGATCCTCAAAAGGGCAGAAGGGACATTTGCTGACCTATGTTCTAGTGTGATAATTTCATGTTTTTATAATTGTGTAAATGTATATGCATATATGTACATGTATACAAATATATGAAAACATTTTGGGAAGATGTTCACCAGACTAGCCAGTGGTGCCTCTGGAGGGGAAATGGAGATCAGGAGATCAGGGAAATGGAGAATGGAAAGGAAGGCTTTCATTTCTCCAACTTCATATTTCTAAATTAACTAGTTAATACTGCTAGAATAAATAAACATGTGTGTCTGTACCCCACACCTAAGGAAGAAAAGACAGGCATCTGTTGCCAAGATTTTTTCGTCAAGCTCCAGCCTCTGCCACAAGTTTTCAGACTTCTAAGAATGGCGGCCACCTTCATGGGAGCCTTGATTGCTCCCAAATAATTGCTTCAATTGCTGTAATTAGCGGAGCAACAATTAGGCTGGGGGAGGGGGGGCAGTCAGCCAGCAGGCTTCCCAGGCTGTGGTTCCTGTCGCTGCCAGCCTCTTCCCGTCCCATTCTAGGCGTGACTCGCCTCCCCTCCATGATGTGGCTCTTTGCAGAGGGCTGTGAGCGAACTGGAGGTCATGCAGCCTTCTCACTTGCTGGGGCTCCTGCCCCTGCGGCTTGTCAACTTTGCTGACTCCCAGCTGTAGACTTCTCTGCTGTGCCTCCCGACCTCTATCACTTGTTTTCCTGCTCAATGAACCCCAGTCAATAAAGCTAGAAATCGGTGTTCCTCACACCCTGCCCACTACTCTGCCAGCCACCAGTCTCCCAGACTCTTTCCAGTTGTCTTTCCAATCTGCCCCAGTTTCATCTCTAACAATGTATGATTGCCTTCCACTTGGACAATATTCACTTTTACCTTTTACCCCTCCAGCTTCCCCCCAGTTTCCAGAGAATGATTTCAAAAAAGCAAACTTGAACATTCATAACTGCCCACAACCTCCTCGATCGAATCTGGGCGCTTTTTTGAGACAGGTTCTCGGGGTGTATCCCAGGCTGGCCTTGAACTCTTGATTCTCTTGCCTTAGCCTCCACAGTGCTGGAATTATAGGTACTTATTATCATACAGGGAAGAAAAAAGGGATGATCTTTTTCCTGCTCCTCACAAAGGATGATGGCCTAGACTCCTATAACCAAGGACAGGTTAGCAAGAGAAAAGCATAAAAATTTCATTTGGTTATAATTATATGTGACATAGGAGCCCTCAGACTGAACACTCAAAAAAACACAGGGTCAACTATCAAGAGTTTGCTTAGGATCAGTGGATCTCAGACAACTATGCAGAAAGGTGATCGTACATGCAGAGAGTGAGCTAACTGAATAGACTATTAGGGAATCCAGCAAAGCCTCTTGATTGCTTGATCGTAGTGTTTCCTCCTTCCAGGCTGAGCTAAGCACCAAGCACCGTCACTTCCTCACGGTCAGTTCCTGGCAGAAAGGCAAGAGAAACCTAGAGCAATGGTTCTGTGATTTTATTTGTATGTTAATAAATAAAAGTGCCTGGAGGTCAGAGCTAATAGCAAGCCATAGCAGAAGTCTGGCAGTGGTAGCACACGCCCTTAATCCCGATCACATGACAGGCAGATCTCTGTGTGTTCAAGGACACCACCAGCATGGAGACACACACCTTTAATCTCAATACCAACCATAGAGGACCTGCAGGTCTGTATAGACAGGCAGTGACGAGGAGGTCATGTGGTTGGGATTACAACCAATGAGAAGGCAGAACAGAAAGTCAATAAAATGACGTATACTGAGGAAGTAGGTCTCTTTCTGAGGACAAGGACGGCAGCAGCAGTGAGGGGTAAGAAAGAGTTTTAGGCTCAGCTCTTAGCTACTGCTCTGACCTCTTGGGCTTTTAACTCTGCATTTGGCTCTGTGTTTCTTGTTCAATAAGACTGTTACATCTACAGGCAGCCATAAGAATGCATTTGACATGTGTTTTAAATTCCTCTTTGTGAAATGTATATTGCAGTTTTGTGGGCATGTGCCTTTAATTAGCACACACAGTATTACATCACACATTTCTTGCAAGCATGGTAGTATGCCTGATGTAAGGATTCTGGCTTTTAATCTTAGTAGTGGAATGGGGATCATTAGAGGGCTTTGAATAGAGCATTGGCATAAAGTGATGCCCTACAAAAATCTCTGGCTGCTGTGCTGGACAAGGATTCAGGGATGCAAACGCAGAAGCCATTAGGGCTGTTACAGTAACTGCAGAGGACAGCGGATGACGTTTCCAGCCACAGGTGGACTGCATTAGCATCCAGTCCCAGGACTACCTGCTTATAAAGGAAACCAAACCCAATACAAAAACAAAAACAAACCAAAAAAGGCAGAAATACAACAGAAAAACCATAAACTGACAAACAACATGAACTGTAAATCACTATTGATAAAAGAAGTACATCACATTTGCTATTCTGGAAAAACTAGAAAGTTAACACTGAGATACAAGGACTTAAGAGTCCTCTCACAGTCACTGGGAGTAAAAAAAACGTAGCAGAGGTGACACTTTTTTTTTTTTTTTTTTTTGGTTTTTCGAGACAGGGTTTCTCTGTGTAGCCTTGGACCTGTCCTGGATCTCGCTCTGTAGACCAGGCTGGCCTCGAAGCCTCGAACTCACAGAGATCTACCTGCCTCTGCCTCCCAAAGGCAGCAGAGCTTTGGGGTCCTCCAGCCCAGCTGGCATGGGGGTGGGAACGGCTGGGATTAAAGGCATGCGCCACCACCGGCCGGCAGCGACCACTGCTCTGTTGGCCTGAGAAAGCACACACTCGCACCACTCAGCAATACCTAAGAATCACCCACCTGCATTACACATGCTGCAGGGAAATTTCCCCCAGGTTCTGCCTATATATTCACTAACATTGTTTGTGGCAATGGTGCTCTGAGGGGAGGGAAGCCCAGGCCACAGTCACTCAGAAAGTGAATGGGTAGTGTGATAAGCATTTTCACGAATACCTCAACCTTTCTTCCAAACAGCCTGAAGACAGCAGAGCTTTGTTTTTTGGTTTTTCGAGACAGGGTTTCTCTGTGTAGATTTGCGCCTTTCCTGGAACTCACTTGGTAGACCAGGCTGGCCTCGAACTCACAGAGATCCTCCTGCCTCTGCCTCCCGAGTGCTGGGATTAAAGGCGTGAGCCACCACCGCCCGGCTTTACAGCAGAGCTTTTAATAGCATTCCCATTTTACAGGCCATAGAATGGAATTAATCCCCCCTCCCCCCGTCTGTTTTATTCTGGCACATTCTCCTTAGTTTCAAGTCGAGGACACTGGGGTTCATGGACCCAGCAGTATCCCCAGTCCCTCAGCCAGGACAGGCCCGGGCTCCTGCTTGTCATGTGGAGGGGCCTGGCTCTTTGGGGGCCACATGTGGTTTCGGATCTAGGAGGTCAGCACCGCGGACAGCGCGGGCAGCAGACAGGGCGGGGCGTCTAGCAGGACGTCACGACGCGCGGAATCCCGGGGGTGCGCGCTCGTGGGCGGCCGCGTCACGTGACCCAGGTAATTGGTCCAGCGCTCTGCGCGCGCTCCCCTCGGCACAGTCCCGGGACCCACAGCCCCCCTGGACCCGCAGCCCCCTGGACCGCGCGGCCCGGAACCCCGGCCAGCCGGTGAGCGCGGCTGCGGCGCGACCCCCGTTCCTGCGAGCCGATCCCTCCGCTCCTCACTCCCGGGTCCTGGGGCAGCGCTGCCCGCTGCCCGCTGCTCTGAGCCGGGCCCTTGGCGCGGGGGTGGGGTGGGGGAAACGTGACCTTGGCTTCGCCCTTGACTTTGTGCCGAGTTCCCTAGGACCCCTGGCCCTTTGCGCGTTTCGGCAGGCGAGTGCAGATTTCGTGGGGAGGAGTGACGCCCCGACAGCGGGGCTTCCGGCCTCAGTGTTGGGTCACCAGCCGGAAGGCTGCGGACCCCCTCCCTTTCTCCACATTCCATGGCCTGGGAAGGAGCCTGCCTGATACCCTTCCTGGGAGAGGGGGCTGCCCAGAGCTGCACTGAGGTTCAGGAGGTTCCAGGGTTGCGCAAGACACGCAGGCAACTTCCAGGTCCCAGGACAGTGAGGGGACAGGCCCTATACATGGTTTTAACTGCGGTCTCCGCTCCCATTTGAGGAAACTGAGGCTGGCCAGATTTCCTAGCTCAAGTAGTCTGAAATCTCAGCCATTGTGGGAGGTGCTTCTCCCACCCTCAGGATGAGCAGCCCTGAGGCCCTAAGAGGCCTTACCTGACCCCGGGGGCCATGCCCTCCTTGCAAATCTCTAAAACCCCACAGGGTGCAAGCCCAAGCCAGTATGTGTAGCTCCTCTCCATACATCCACCAGTAACCTTCAAACAGGCCTCACTTGTCTGTACTTTTCCCAGTTCTGGGCTTTGGTTTGGCCCGCCCTTCCTCCCAGCCAAGGAAATGAGCTCTAACCCCACCCCAACCCACCCTCCTGCCTCGCTCCTTGGAGTCCTGCGTTCTCCAGTCGGGCAGTGAGTCCAGTTTCCCGTGCAAGAGGAGGTAAAGGGAACGCCAGCGCTGTTGCTTCACGCTGTTTGAGGTCTTGGGAGGACGCTTCCCTATTCTGACCTCTGCTGATTTCCCCAAGGGAGCCATTGTGGAGCAGCCTCACCTGAGCGCCACTGCAGGAGACTTAGGGGCAGCTTGCCTGCACTGGTTCTGGGGCTGGGTTGGGTCTCCTTGGCGACACTGTTCCAGAGAGGATGCCCCCAAGATCTGCCCCATTAGCAGCTTGCACAGGTCACTTTGTTGGGGTCCTTGCTGCCAACCTACCCTATATGGGCAGGACCTAGCAGGGCTAACTAGGGCTCTGGCTGTAGGTTCTGAGCCCAGCAGAGCTTTGGGGTCCTCCAGCCCAGCTGGCATGGGGGTGGGAACGGCTGGCATCCCCTGCCAGGTTGGGTGAAGGCCATAGCAGTGTCTGGCTGCACACCCTGTTCTGTGTTTGTAAACCACAGTGTTCCTGCCCTGGGCCAGGCTGGAGACAGCCAGGCCTTGTCCCTATCTGGCCTGAAATGTCCCATCCCCCTGTGGGGGTAGAGCTGGCAGAAGGAGCAACTGGGGCATTGCCCCTAAGATCTTGCTGCTGCTGTGAGGAGGACACAGGCCCTGGAACAGAGAGCTGGTCACTCTCCAGCTTCCAGTCTCTGTACCCCTCTGAGGAGGAGTGAGCACTGTGACCTCAGCCTTGACTGACTACAAGGCCTTCTTACTTTCATGACGGTCTGCTTGCCTTGCTGTGCAGAATGCGGATGCCGACCCCCCATGGTTGTTTGGGTTCTTGTGAGGTCTCCACGTGGTGACCCCAGCTGTCTGACCCGAGGGCCTATGCTTTACCTTTGGAAAGCTGCCGCCCAGGGGGCCCAGCCTCAGGCGGCTCACTGTGGGGCCTGGCTCCTCTAAGAGCTCAGGGGTTGAAATGTGTGGGAGGGGATCCTGGGGCACTGGAGGTTCAGAGTTCTGCTACCCCCACCCCCTGCTGTGGAATGTATTTTCTAGTTATGAATTGTCCTCTATTCAGGCTTGCCGCAGGTCACCTCGGGAGAGACCCTTCTTCCTTGACTGAGGAACTCCTCACCTGTCCATCCAGCTCAAGTGAGTTTGCAAGGGTGAGGAGAGGCAGCCCAGGAGAACCATACCTGCCCTTCGGTGGACTTGATCCCTTGCAGAAACTCCAGCCAGTGGTGTCCTGACTTGGTTTTTAGCTGGTGGCAGGAGTAGGGTAGAGGGGTGCGGTTGGTGAACAGTTGGCAGAACACACGTAGGAACATTGATTCAGGGCCAACTCTAAGCAGGACCCAGGAGCCCGTTAGATCCTCAAACAGCAGTTCTCAACATGTGGGTTGTGACCCCTTTGGGAGTCGAACAACCCTCTCACAGGGGTTGCATATCAGATATTTACATGGTGATTCATAACTAAGAGAATTACAGGTATGAAATAGCAACAAAAATAATTCATGCTGGGGGTAGGGGGGGTCACCACAACACGAGGAACTGTATTAGAGGGTGGCAGCGTTAGGAAGGTTGAGAACCACTGCCCTAGAGTATATGTGTTCTGGGTTACTGAGCTGTGTGAGCGGCCTTGGGCTTCTGGACTCTGATGAGTGGTTCTAGGGTTGTATTCTGCTTCAAGGCTTGGTTTCATTAGGCAGAAAAGCATTAGTCAGTATTCAGTAGGAAGGATGTGCTCAGTGTCCAGGCTGTGGCTGGGCTGGGCAGAGCGGGCCGGGAGAGGGGCTGCTGCTCATAGCCATTGGGTGAAGCGGGAGAACAGAGGTCCCACTTTACATGGGGTAGCCAGGCCCTGGGCCAGCAGGGGCCTTGGTGGGTCTGAGTGGGGAGCCTGGCGGTCCTCTCGGAGCGGAGGGGACCTTTAAAACTCCTGTCCTCCTGGGGAGAGGTGGCTGAGGAAGTCTCGCCATCGAAAGCCTGCCTGCCCATCATTCAGGCCTCTTCCTTGCAAAAGGGCAGGTGATTTGACAAGTGAAGGGAACCCAGTGTTGTGTTCCCGTGACCTGGGTGGCCTCCAGCATGTAAGTACCCTGGGCTGACAGCTGCCTTGGGTAGTGTTTGTTCAGAGTGTGAGTTCCAGGCAGCATTCAGGAGCCAGAGAAGGCAGCTGCCGCAGGGATCCATCACTTGGATGCCTTTGGTTCTGCCTCTACCACACAGAGCCTTAGTTATCACTTCTGTGAAGTGGGCCACTGTCGAGGCCTGGACTCCTGACCTTCTGGCTTTGCCTGGGAGGAAGGAATTCCTGACCCAGTAAATTGCACTCATAGGAAGTCAATGGTCACGTCTGGTCAATGGTCAGTGTGACATGTGTCTTGTCCCCTCTCATCTCTGAGCCTTTGCACCCCAGGACCTTTCTCTGCCTTCTCTGACCATTCACAGCCAACCCAGAGCCTGGAGGACCCCTGCCTCACCTCCAAGGTGGTAGGCTATGTGCCCATCCCTTTTTTGGGTTACTGCCCCCACATGATCTTCTGAGTGGGCTCCAGGGCCCGAGCTGGGGATCTCAGAAGCAGGCCTGTATATGGGAGTAGCAGTGTCCTGGGGCCAACAGAGAGGGAGCCTAGGCTGGAGGGAAGGGCCCAGGAGCACTGGGGTTCAGAGTCCTTTGGAGGAGGACTCGAGGAAATGAAGCTGGAAGAGAGTCTGTCACTTCTGCCTCACCTTGCCTTAGTCTGGGGCCACCATCTAGTGAGATCATAGATGCTAGGAGTGAATCCACACCTATCTGAGCTTCCTCTTGACTGCATCCTATGATTTATTGCCTCTTCTTCATTGCCCATGTTCAGCATGAGTCAGCTGAGGCTGCTGCCGTTCAGGTTGGGACCGCAGGCCATAAGGTTCCTGGCCACACGGGATATCCCAGTGTTTGGTGGGAGCAGGATATCCTCTGGGCCGCCAACCACCATCCCAAGCAGCAGGAGTGGAGTCAGCTCCAGTTATGTGGAGGAGATGTACTTCGCCTGGTTGGAAAATCCACAGAGCGTTCACAAGGTTGGCGTCTGCCTTCTGCATTTCATGGGAGGGAAGCTGCTGGGGTGTATGGCGGGATGAGGGATTGCTGGGAATCCGCCATGGTCTTAGTCCCTGTGCGGTTGTGTGTCTGGGGAAGGGAGGCTCCTTGCTTTATGCTGATGAAACTGTGGTGGGAGGTGGCCCACCTGAAGGACCACGAAGACGCCTTGCTCAGCATGCCGGAGACCTGCCCTCCCAGGTTATGCTGAGCTCTTTCCAGATGGCCCTGGGATGAAATGAAGAAGATAAATGCCTGTGGATGTGTCATCTGATAAACTAATACCCCTTGATAACTAAAGGAGAAATGGGAGGACAATAAATAAACAGTCACATGATCCAGACTCAGGGAATATAAAAAGTCAAGAGGTCCCTCCCAGCCTACTACATGATTTATTCTTATTTTCTTCTCTTTCTGAGATTGTTTGTTTGTTTTTCGAGACAGGGTTTCTCTGTGTAGCTTTGCACCTTTCCTGGAACTCACTTGGTAGCCTAGGCTGGCCTCGAACTCACAGAGATCCGCCTGGCTCTGCCTCCCGAGTGCTGGGATTAAAGATGTGCACCACCATCGCCCGACCTGAGATTTTTTTTTTTTTTTAGGTAAACTTTTTGCAGACATAACAATTTCCCCTCTTTCCCACAAGTGACAGGGAACAATCCTGTTTTGTTCTTTGGCTTTCATTGGGCTGTCTTTCAGCTCTTTCCCTGTCAGTACATGAAGAGCCCATTGCTTATTTCTACCTACGTAGTAGTCCATCACAGGGATGCCTTGTGATAGACTTGTCCCCAGTAACAGACTTCTGGTCCACTTCTTGTCTCAATTGCCATGAACAGTGCTGCAGAGTGTAATCCTATGTGTGCACACAGCTAGCTGTAGGAATTCTCCCACTGGCACTACATGGGACTGAGCAGAGGGAAGCAGTCTTTCTGTGCTGAGAATGGGACCTGAGCCCTGGCACATGTGAGACAGGCTTCTCCCAGGAGCCCGGCCAGCAGTCCTCTCCGGGACAGCACTGTTACTCTCCCAGAACCCAGAAGTATCTCTGTGTGCGCACGTCTGCTCTTGCTTCCCTGTGAAGCAGCAGGGCCACACGTCCTCTTCAGCATGTCCTTGTAGTCACTGTGTGTTGGTAGTAAGTGTCCTATATCCATCCTAGCAAATGTACCTTCTCACAGAAGACTGCATACCTTTCCAGCTTCTGCCTTCATTTATTTAGCCAGTTGCTTATTGATAGTCATTTAGGTTGTTTGGACATCACCATTTTTATAAATAACCCTGAAGGGAACATCTGGACATACTTGTACATTGGTGGGTAAATTACCAGTAGTGGGATTATTATCTCAAAAGAACCACCTATACATAGATCTTGTGATCTATGCCGGCTATTCCACCATCTCCTAAGACCTGCAACCCAGTGTGCAAGGACAGATTGCCCTCAGGGCAGAAGTCCCTTCATAGCTGAACCCACACTCAAAGCTGCATTCCCTAGGAGAGCTGGGCAATGGGTAAAGGCCTGGGCTAGTAGAGGGGGTCCCTGAATTGAGGCTCTGGAAGGGCCCTGAGCACTATGGTTCCCAAGAACACTGAATGCTTTGGGGATCCCAGCTCTTCCTGACCTGGGTGAGGTCTTTTTTCTCCCTACCCAGTCCTGGGACAGCTTCTTCCGGAAAGCAAGGAAGGAGGCCTCTGTGGGCCCTGCTCAGTCACAGCCCCCAGCTGTCATCCCAGAGATCAGGCCATCGGTCTCAAGTTGCACCAAGACCAGCAAGCTGGTAGAGGACCACCTGGCAGTACAGTCCCTGATCCGTGCCTACCAGGTGAGAGCGGTCAAGGTGTGGGCAAGGAGGGTGGGGCAGGGTGCAGTCGGGATAGAAGCAGGGGTCTGAACTCTAACGTCACTTCTATTGAGAACCAGTCTTTGTCGTATGCTCTTTAGAGCCCAAAGCACCTCCCTGGTAGCCTTTGAGTATATTTGCTGGTTGTCTGTTTCCTCATGCTGTTAAGGATGCCCTAAGTGCCTAGAGGAACACTTAGTAGGTGATCAATTATGTTTAGTGTTAAGTGACTGTGGAACACTCTGACGCTTGGTAACCATTCTCTAGTCTGGGCATTCCAGGAAACAGGGACTGTTTACAGCAGAAGCTTCATTAGTGAAGATGGGATGAATTAATAATTTCCCAAACACGGCTCCCCCACCAGCTGCTCATTCTGGAGGCTTGGACTCTCTCACACTGGGTCCCTAGGCTGGGCCTGGTCTTTGGCAGCATGTCTTGGTGATGGTCCATGTTCTTGATAGAACAGGACTAATTGGAGGGCTGCTCTGGGGTTGATGCCATGACAGGTGCAATCACTGAGGATCTCTGTGGGAACTGGTGGCAGAAGGCATTTCACAAGGGAAGCAGGGCATGCAGGGGGTGATGCTAGGGAGCCTGGGTCCCGGAGAGACTTGGGGGGAGGGAGCAGCGAGCTGCTACATGGGCCTGGGAACACCGGGGCATTAGCAAATGGAAACAATGTGCTCTAAACCACTAGGCGCCCTCTGTGTGGGAGTATAAAGTGAAATTGAGTTAG